CCCCCATTGACATTCTCTGTCCCTAGCCACTGGCGTGTGCATTCTCTGCCCGCAGAACCCCAGCCACTCATGTGCATAACATCCACAGCCCCTACGGTTTCTTCCTTACCCAGAAAGGTTTATACTAAGTTATTAACCTATCTAGACCCTGCGCACCACATCAGTCAATGTTCCTCGTTGTGTCGTGTTTAGGGTTTAAGGCTTAGGGCTAAACCACCAGTATTTTTTAGCCCTGAAATTCCAAACCGCCACATGCAAGCCAGCCTGTTTAGTCGGGTTAGACCCAACCTATCCCCTGCACCGGGTTAACCAGACCCTGCGGATGGCCCATCTAGACAAAATACCGGTGGCTTGGGGGGCGTCTTCACCCAAATAGAACTCCTGCCTGGTCAGAATAGATGTATCTGGGGCAACTTCAGCTAGATACAGCAATGGTGACTGGGCGTTTTATTCAGGTGCAGACAGTAGATGGGATCCAGATGGGTCCACTGAACAGTTTAGGGGTGATCCAGGGAAAGTTCGGACACCCACAAAGTCTTCTTGGACATCCGTTAAAATTGGAAATAGCCAAATTGGAACAATACAGAAAAGATTAGCCTGGTCCCTGAACAAGGTTGACGGGCACATGCGAATTGAGAATTGGTCCAAGTTAACAACAACAACAACGACAACGACAACGACAACGACAACGACAACGACAACAACAACAACGACAACAACAACAACAACAACAACGACAACGACAACAACAACGACAACAAACAGCACAAAACAATTATCCTTTCATTTCTCTACAAAGGGGATCGTCTCTACAATTATGCGATCAGTTAGGATTTGAAGTTTTGAAGTTTTCAACCTTCGATCTGTTTGCAACCTTATCGAGGTTGTTTCAGACGTATCCTTCCTAAGAAATATACTGCTATGAACTCATCTGTGGTAATCCCGGTAATATGATTCCGGGAGCGACACTCGCAATCAACTGGTTCTGAAAATTGAGTCATCAATTACAAGCTGGTAAATTTGAGCCACAAGTGTGGCCTTATCTTATCGTACAGAAAGCCCTCACCGTGGTGCTGGACAGCATATATGATCCGGAATTTCTGGACTGTTCTCTACGACTGAGGAGTGTAGGTGTTTGTCATCCAGCGACTGGAGGAGGTGGGGAGGCCCCACTTACCCATGTTCATCATTTGATTCATTTCAAGTTATAACTATTTCTAAATATAGAATGATAGAATCCATCTATAGATCACTTGGAGCCAGGGCCATAGGGACCTCTTTTTTTTTTAATCTATAGATCACAGAGATAAACAGCAGCAAGAAATGAAGAATCCATCGGGTAAGAGGTACCCGCCCCGAATGATTGGGGGCCTTTCCCTCTGTCCCAGTGTCCCTACCATTTTGAAAGTATGTGTCTTCTTCATCAGCGCCGATATCCTCCAATGCATCCAGCTCCCGCTGTATTTCCGCTTCCGCTTCGTCATCCAGTTTAACAATCATGTCTCCCTCTCCCATCATCACTCTCTCCACCTCCATCACGATCATCTTTCCTAATATGTCATCACCAAGCCGGACGAAAAAGGAAAGAAAAACAAAAAACACAGATTCCTCCGCTTGAGGCAAAGCAAAATGCAATTTTTTTACTGCAGCAAAGAACCTGCAGATGCTCCTTTTTCCTTTTTCCCCACCACTGGAAGGGTTCTGGCTCCTGATGAGTACGTAAAACTTTGACGAAACAGTCTATCACAACCCCTCCGTTGCCGTCCTCTTCTCTCTCTCTCTCTCTCTCTCTCTCTCTCTCTCTCTCTCTCTCTCTCTCTCTCTCTCTCTCTCTCTCTCTGTGTGTGCGTACAGTGAAGTGCGCCGGGCAGTTCTCTATGGCGATATTTATAGCGTTCCGCCTCCTGATGAGGTGGTGAAATTCTGACGAAGCAGGCCGTCACAGCCTCCCGTGTCGTGTCCTTTTCGCCCTTCGTGCCTATTATGGTTCACCGGGCCATTCTCAATATGATATATATGAAATCTTGGCTACTCCAGGCAGGTTACTCCTCCTGTCTTGCAGCAGCCACCAGCCAGCAACACCATAGCAGAACACGACACACTCAATACATATTTGAACGTGCTCCATCAAAACACAAGAAATCAACAGATTCAATGATCCTGGGATTGCTGGTTCCAAAAACAAAAAAAACAAAAAATGATTGCCGGTTCGACAACTTGCCATTGGTTTTTTGAAAGTTTTGTGATTTCATGAGACATGGGAACAGGATTAAAAAAAAATAAAAAATAAAATGATATGGGAAGTTGGGAACAATATTAAAGGATGAGCACTGAGTGAACAGTGAACACTGAACGCACAATATGTGAATGAATGCGTGGGCGGCAAAATGAAGTGTTTGAGGTTTGAGCTCTTGACTTGTCACTGAACAGTGAACGGACTATGTGAACGAAACAAGTGGGTGGTTGCGAAGGGAAGGGTTTGGGCTCTCGACTTGTCACTGAACAGAGAGCAAACAATATGCGAACGAATATGAGTGGTTGGATTAATGAAGGGTTTGAACCTGTGTAGCACACCGAACGTGTTCGGGGCTTTCCCGAACGCCCGACGGAACGCCTCCCGAATGTGTTCGTTCGAACATATATGTTTAATGATGAAAGAAAAAAGTTCAAAAAAAATATAATTTTTTTTGAGGTTTTTTTTAACTTTTTTTCTTTTTAACTTGAGTTTGTCTAAGAATTTCTGAATTTGTCAATCTGAACATGCCTCCCAGCCAAAAGTTGTTGTATAATTATTTTTAATTTTAGTAATTTTACTTCTTTTTTTTTTTTTTTTTTTTTTTGAACAGGTCCTTAAGGCCCTGGCTCCATATCCATTCTGGGGAGCGTCAGTCCGGTTCCTATTCCCCCGGCAAGTCAAGATTGAATACATAATAATACCCACTCACGCTTCCTTCCGTCTGGCCGAAGGAACCCTGACCAGCATTGATTGCTCCTGCTAAGGAGGATTGACTGTCAGCTTGCCCATGCCGCTTGTTCCTCTCAGGCTTCTATTTAGAGCCTGTCAAATAATTCCTTGCACAATGAGAACAGTGAAAGGGTCTGCTACATGCTCTGTTGTTTGTCATTGTACTTCTCTGTGTACCCTTTGAGTACTGTTGCTGATCGCAGTTCCGACCCTTCTGCCAGGTAGCATGGTGGGGCCCAATAGTCATTGTGGTATAGCCTGGTGCCATTTCTTCCATCTCAATCTGTTGTCTACCATCGTAGCCACCTTGCCCTTTAGCAGCCATTCTCTCTTGAATGTCTGCTTCCTGGTTGCTTGTCTTTCTGGTCTGTAATGCGTAGAGGTCGCTATTCTCCGCCATCTGCTCCTGATTTCCGTATCTGCCATGCTCAGTAGTAGAGACCGCATTTCTTCCTTTGCCACCTCTGCTCCCTCGATTGTCCGGGTGCACCTGCGCTTCCATATTACCCACAGTGCCAATTTCCTGAGTTTCCCTGCTGCCCTTGACGTTGCTGGGAGTGTTAGATAGCAGTAAGATGGAGAGGGTATCAGCCATTGCATGCTGCGTATGCAGTTTGGGCGGATAAGAAGGTATTTAGTCCACGGGATGGTGATGGGGGTCGCCAGGTCAAGGTGAAGGATGGTTCTCCATTTTTCTGCCAGCCTTGGGTTCGGGTCAGTGGTTTTTAGTCTGAGGTTATAGCCAAACTTTACGTCATATTCCGTTATTGCCCTTGGTTTCCCGGTGGTGCCCAGGTCCCATATCCACTCCTTTGGGTCGAATTCTAGGTCCTTGATGCTGAGTTCCGACTGGAAGATGAGCCAGGGTTTCCTGTGAGAGACTCTGACCTTCCTTAGCAACAAGGATTCAATTTGTTCATGCTGTGGCACTTTGTTTAGGGCCTCTGGTTCGTATAGGTTGTGTCTGGCGATGGGGTAGGAAATGAAATTGGCCTGGTAGTTAGTCGGGTGCGGTTTGGACATGAACCGGTAGGGGGGGATGCTGTGATGAATTTCCGATAGGTTGCTGGACAGTGAGTGACAACCCTTTAGGGTGGTGCGCAGATCCTGTTCGTTGAGCCACTCTTGTCGGTCTTCGGACCACAGATGCTTGATCTGCCATACACCTCGTTCTACCCATGAGAGCCATCTGCGGTCTTTGGGTCGGAGGGTCCAGGGCTCGACCTCTGTGCCTTTAATCCAAGGATTGCAGAACAGGGGCTGTCTTAGGACTTCCTCTTTGTTGCGCGGAGAGCCTTTCTTTTCTGGCATCAGTCGGCGCCAGGCTTTTAGGATCGGTGACCAGTAGGGGCTGGTTGTGGTGGAGGGATGAGAGGGTGTTGTGGGATGAGTTCTCCTTGATTTGATTGCCCATTCCTTTACCATGATCTAGAAGAGGCTCCTCATGTTCGGTGGGGAAGTTATTGGTCCCAAATTCCTTATGTTGTCTAGCGCCATCTTGGTCCACGGGAGGGCATGCTTTGTTAGGATTTTAATTACCCATTTCATCTGGAGGGCGGTCGCTTCCTGTTTCGGATCGATGATGCCCAGTCCTCCTTCGTGTGGTTTCCTGATGACGATTTGCCAGCCTACTTTGTTTAGGCATGTGGTTCTGCTGGGGTCTCCAGTCCACAGGTAGCATCTCGCTCTCGCTTTCAGCTTTTTCAGGTCGTCATCGGGAGGGGACCATATGGAGGTCATGTACCACAGTGTTGAGAAAACGACCGCGTTGATGATCAGCGCTCTCCCTAGCAGGGAGGGTTGGGCTTTCCTACAGAGGGCTAGACGATTTATCGCCCTGGCAATCAAAGACTCCCCCATCCCTTGCCAAATGCCATCTCTGTTTACCATAATACCCAGGTACCGAAGAGCTTGGTCTCCTGTGGACCATGACATTGGGGTGAGTAGGTCTGGGGGTTGGGGGGGTGCCTTCTGCAAGCCACCATCCTTCCGTTTGCTCCCAGTTCACCTTCATCTTTGAGGCTAGTCTAAAGACTTCCATAGCGCAGGCTAGGGCTTGAAAGGAGGAATTGTTGGCGTGGATGAGGACCGTGAGGTCGTCTGTGAACATCAGTGTGGGGAGAGCGAAATCGCGAAGGGGATTGTAGTTTTGTTCGGCTAGGCGATCTATGGATGGTTCCTTGCGTAGAAAGGAGGCAATCGCTTCCATTATGAATAGGAATATCGGTGGTGCGGGGGGGTCGCCTTGGCAGACTGATCTCGATATCGGATAGGTATCTGATAGTATTCCGTTTATCTGCACTTTGCCTGTGGCATCGCCATATAGTGCTCTTACCCACTCTCTGAAGTTTGGGCCGACTCCCATCTTCTCCATACAGTCGTGGAGTAAGTCCCAGTTGACTTGATTGTAGGCCTTTCCAAAGTCGAAGAATAGGATCGCCGCCTGCATCCGTTTTTCTGTAATTTTTTTGCGGCCTCGTCCAGGGCCATCACGTTATCAAGAATATATCGGCCTGGGATGAAACCTGCTTGGTCGATATGGAAGCATTTATCCGTTATTTTTATGATTATGTTGGCTAGTGCTTTTGCGAGGACTTTGTAGGGTGTTGTGAGGAGTGAGATTGGCATGCAGTTCTTTAGATCTTCCTTGTCTCCCTTCTTGTAGATCAAAGAGACTACGCTGGTGCTCAAGAACTGGCCCAGGCCTCCCTTTTCCCTGCTGTCGTTGATGAAATTTAAGTGGTTGTTGCCCAGTATCGTCCAAAACAAGGTCCATAATTCTTTGGACAGGCCATCGATACCTCGTGCCTTGTCGCTTCCCATCTGGGACAGGGTTGCATGGAGTTCTTCTAAGGTGATTGGTTTGTCCAGATCCTCCGTATTTTCCTGCATGATCGTTCTATCTAGGTGCCTCATCATGTGTTGGCGGGCATTGATATTTGCTGTTGGGGGGGGGAGATGGAGTCCTGGCCTCGTAAAGATCAACATACAAGGATCTAGCAATCCTTACCATGTCTGTGCCGGTTGACTTTGTCTTCCCCTGATCTGTTGGGTCCTTCAACCCCTCTATCATGTTGTTCCTAGCATCGGCCTTGATTTTGGAGAAGAAGAATTTGGACATATTGTAGTCGGTCATTCGGGCGCGAATTTGTAGGCCTCTAAGTTCCCATCTTCTCCACTCACTTAATTTGTTTTTGGTCGATTGGAGTAGGTTGTGGTAGAAGGAGTTGGAAGGGTCGGATACGAGGTTGGCCTCTGCAACTTCGAGAGCGATTTGTAGTTCTTCCTTCCTTAATCTGCCTTTTGCTGCTATGGTTCTAGACTCTGCTGAACCCGTTTGGGATAAGTCTATGAAGCTATCTATGAACCACTTGTGTCTGTTCGATCGTTTCGCCCCGTCCAACTGTAAGAACACCCAGTTCCATCTGACTGCCTCGGTCATGCAGTCTGTGGAGAGAAGGGAGTTATTCATTCTAAAGAAACCCTGGCCCTTTCTCAATCGGGGCGTTGAAATTTAGCAGCAGGATGTCGGTTTGTGGTCGAGTCCCTTGAAGGCTGCTGCATGAAGGATATCGGCCTCCTTGACTGTTCTCTGCAGCGTATCGGAGATTAGGAAGAAGTCAATCCGTGATAGTGACGTGTGGTTGGAACGCTTCCTTATGACTAAGGAGAAGCCTTTCTTTCGAGGGTGGAGGGTGTGAAAGGGGTTGATGATCCGTTGATCAGATCGAACTCTGTCAT